AATATCTTATCAACAAAGATTTCCCCCATATGAGGTCCTATCCCCAGCAGTCTCCTCAATGTCCCCCTCCATATGAGGTCCTATCCCCAGCAGTCTCCTCAATGTCCCCCTCTATATGAATTCCTATCCCCAGCAGTCTCATCAATGTCCCCCTCCATATGAGGTCCTATCCCCAGCAGTCTTCTCATCAATGTCCCCCTCCATAGGAGGTCCTATCCCCAGCAGTCTTCTCATCAACGTCCCCCTCCATATGAGGTCCTATCCCCAGCAGTCTCATCAATGTCCCCCTCCATATGAGGTCCTATCCCCAGCAGTCTTATCAATGTCCCCCTCCATAGGAGGTCCTATCCCCAGCAGTCTCCTCAATGTCCCCCTCCATATGAAGTCCTATCCCCAGCAGTCTTATCAATTTCCCCCTCTATATGAGGTCCTATCCCCATCAGTATCATCAAAGTCCCCCTCCATATGAAGTCCTATCCCCAGCAGTCTTCTCATCAATGTCCCCCTCCATATGAAGTCCTATCCCCACTAGTATTCTCATCAATGTCCCCCTCCATATGAAGTCCTATCCCCACTAGTATTCTCATCAATGTCCCCCTCCATATGAGGTCCTATCCCCAGCAGTCTTCTCATCAATGTCCCCCTCCATATGAAGTCCTATCCCCACTAGTATTCTCATCAATGTCCCCCTCCATATGAGGTCCTATCCCCAGCAGTCTTCTCATCAATGTCCCCCTCCATATGAAGTCCTATCCCCAGCAGTCTCATCAATGTCCCCCTCCAAATGAGGTCCTATCCCCACTAGTCTTCTCATCAATGTCCCCCTCCATAGGAGGTCCTATCCCCACTAGTCTTCTCATCAATGTCCCCCTCCATATGAGGTCCTATCCTCAGCAGTCTTCTCATCAATGTCCCCCCCCATATGAAGTCCTATCCCCAGCAGTCTTCTCAATGTCCCCCTCTATATGAGGTCCTATCCCCAGCAGTCTTATCAATGTCCCCCTCCATAGGAGGTCCTATCCCCAGCAGTCTTATCAATGTCCCCCTCTATATGAGGTCCTATCCACAGCAGTCTCATCAATGTCCCCCTCTATATGAAGTCCTATCCCCAGCAGTCTTCTCATCAATGTACCCCTCCATAGGAGTTCCTATCCCCAGCAGTCTTCTCATCAATATCCCCCTTCATATGAGGTCCTATCCCCAGCAGTGTTCTCATCAATGTCCCCCTCTATATGAAGTCCTATCCCCAGCAGTCTTCTCATCAATGTCCCCCTCCATAAGAGGTCCTATCCCCAGCAGTCTTATCAAATTCCCCCCTTCTATAGGAAGTCCTATCCCCACTAGTCTTCTCATCAATGTCCCCCTCCATAGGAGGTCCTATCCCCAGCAGTGTTATCATCAATGTCCCCCTCCCACAGGAGGTCCTATCCCCAGCAGTCTTCTCATCAATGTCCCCCTCTATATGAGGTCCTATCCACAGCAGTCTCATCAATGTCCCCCTCTATATGAAGTCCTATCCCCAGCAGTCCTCTCATCAATGTCCCCCTCCATAGGAGTTCCTATCCCCAGCAGTCTTCTCATCAATATCCCCCTTCATATGAGGTCCTATCCCCAGCAGTGTTCTCATCAATGTCCCCCTCTATATGAAGTCCCCCTCTATATGAAGTCCTATCCCCAGCAGTCTTCTCATCAATGTCCCCCTCTATATGAGGTCCTATCCCCAGCAGTATTCTCATCAATGTACCCTTCCATATGAAGTCCTATCCCCAGTAGTCTTCTCATCAATGTACCCTTCCATATGAAGTCCTATCCCCAGCAGTCTTCTCATCAATGTCCCCCTCCATATGAAGTCCTATCCCCAGCAGTCTTCTCATCAATGTACTCTACGAAGTCCTATCCCCAGCAGTCTTATCAATGTACGCTTCCATATGAGGTCCTACCCTCAGCAGTCTTCCCGCTAATGAAGAGCGTCCCACCACATGAGGTTCCTGACATTTTAAGGTTCTATCTCCAGCAGTCATCTCCTCATCAATGTCCCCTTTGTGTGTTCTCTCTGGTATATGTTCTCATCCACACACATGTCACACTTTGTAGTTTATCGGTAGAATATTCGATGGCAAGAAAAGTTTCCAGAGAAAATGTACCAGGAGAGGAAAGCGTAACTAATGTGATGAAGGGGTATCTAACGTTGTAGGTCTCCAGATTGTAGCACTATGTCCCATTATCTTCAGATATTCAGAGTTTGCACGTTACTGTTTAAATTTGCGTGTTTTTTGCGTTAGACTTAACTCTAAGGTTGTTTTTTTTTTTTTATCAATGTAGATCCAGAAGCAGTCCCGATAAAAACAAAGGGGACAGACAGAACAAGTCCAGCACCAAAAGACATAGCCCAGAGAGACTGAGATCTGTGACTCCTCCCACCCGCAATCGCAGAGGTGAGAGAGGAAGGAGCCCGGAGCCGCCCCCCAGGGAGGTAAGTGTCAGGATTGTATTCTGTTATGTTTCAGTCATTGTACTATGTCTGAGTCTTCTGGTGTACGTGACTCTTTCGGTATAATTCGCTGTAAGTAATACTTGCCTGCTCTTTGTATTTCCTGACAGAAGGGTTTGAGGAAGGAGCCGGCTACCAGAGACCGTTCGGCATCGGCGTCGCCTAAAAGGCATAATGACCCCCGCGCTGCAGAACGTAATAAGAGAGACGACAGACCGCGTGACAAGACTGAGAAGAGTTCCTACCGATCACGTTCCAGAGAAACCTCTCCCGTCTCCAGTCCGGTACCCCGCAAGAGGAGTCGACAGGACAGTCCAAAGGAGCGCACTTCAGATGCAAAAGGAGTGGAGGGGTCGCGAAGGAAAGATTCTCCACCACGTCGGCGATCTCCTGCTACTCAGACACAATCTTCTAAAGGATCTAGGAGAGAAAGAAGTCCATCTCGAGGGCAAGCCTCCCCGGACCGAGCACCCAGGGACAGTTCATCCAAAAATGACAAGCGAGTTAGCGGTAAACGCTCGCCACCAGTCCCAAGTAAGACTTCAAAGACTACAAGTTCATCGTCATCTTCCTCCTCGTCCTCGTCCTCGTCCTCTTCGTCAGGAAGTGAAACGTCTGATCATGAGAAGATCAGGGATCTGCGGAAGACTCAGGCTGGTGGCAAGCAAAATAAAAGTTACAGAGCTGACGCTGGAGATAAGCATGAAAAGTCAGCAGTGCAAACCGAGGACAAGAGAATAACCAGACCCTCGCCAGCTAGACAGACAGACCGAGAAAGGAGGTCAAAGAAAAGTGCTTCTCCTAGTCCTCAGAGACCCCGCAAGTTAAGGTCCCCTCCTGGAAGAAAGCATTCTCTTTCAAAAAGTCCACCAAGAAAAGGACGATCAGTAACGCCTCAGCGCAAAGCCAGATCGCCCTCTACGCCTCCCCGACGTGGGAAGTCCAAGAGCCCAAAGCGCAAACCCCGATCTCCTCCACCAAAGTCCCCTCAAAAAGCACGGGTGCCATCTCCAACGCCACCGCGTCTTGCCAGGTCAAAATCTCCCCAGCGAAGACGGAGATCCGTGTCGCAGACACCTCCCCGTCACTATTGCGATAAAGAGAGATCTTCCCGTGGCGATAAACATCAATCGGCTCGGCGACGAGACAGATCCGACAGTCCTAAGAAGAGTGAAGGGTCTCGCGCCTATTTATCTAAAAACAGAGCGAGATCACCATCTAGGTCGCCAGTTCGCCGTACGAGCCCGATCACACGTTCTCCGGAAAGAAAGGCGAGGTCACATTCCCGGTCATCTGACAGACACAAAAGATCACGCACTCGCTCACCAGCTAAGAGGGCAAGATCTGGTTCTCGGTCTTCAAAGCAGAAGAAGCTGTCTAAATCTGAACAGAAACGGGCAAGGTCTCCTGCGACCTATCGTGGTAAAGACCGGCGGTCACGGTCTAACTCAAGACGCCAAAGGAAAAAGTCACCTTCTGATGCTTCTATGGCTTCCGGATCACGTAGCCCAAGTCCAGTATTGTATGGAAAAAATAAGTCTCGTTCACGATCTCCTAAGGAGCATTCATCTTCTAGAATGACGCAAAAAAGATTGGCGTCTCCCAGAGATAAACCTCAATCCTTGAGGAAAAAATCATCCTCACGGTCAGTGTCGCCAGTCCAGAAAAAGATTTCATCCAGAAATCAGTCCGAAAGATCTGTATCCAAATCGAGAAGATCAAAGTCGCCTTCACCTGAAAAAGATCCATCCAAAAAAAACGATAAGAGATCGGGGTCCGGCAAAAAAAGGTACAGTTCTTCGCCAGAGCCAAGAGGACGTGGTGATAGACCCTCTGCTGAACAAGAAAAGATATACAAGACATCAGCACATGCCGAGCCTTTAAAAAACAAGACTGCTCGTGGACAAAGTCCTTCAGCTTCTCCTGTCTCGCAGACATCACGTAGAAGCAGGTTGACGGAAGAATCTTCACCTATTCCTAGTAGAGTTGCAGAAATCGTCAAGTCTAGAGCAGCGTTGTCCAGGAAATCTAGCCGCTCTCCTGAGCATGGACCACTATCTAAAGAGTCGCACCCAATGAGTCGTACTCTGGAGGGTAAATATGGATCATCTCAAAAAGATGAATCGAGGACCTCTCTCGAGCGCAAAGGCAAATTAAACACCTCTCGTCGTAAATATAGGTCGGGATCTTCTTCAGAACGAGAATCCAGCCCAAAATCTAAACTCCAGTCTACAGAAGTTAGGGGAAGATTGAAGCATGCGTTACATAAAAATAGATCTGGCTCTTCCTCAGAAAGTGAAGATGCGTCTTCCTCTTCACACAGCAAGGAAAGGTCTGGTTCTTCAACAGAACGTGAATACAGAGCTAAACCTTTAGCAAAAAGCACTGGTTCTAGAGTTCAATCAGACGCTAACGGACCTGAGGCAGGGACAAGGCGTACATCAACTTCTGAACGCAAAACAAAATTGAAGAGCGGAAGTAGATCTGACTCTTCATCGGAACGTGAGGAGAAGTCTAAACTATCTAAAGTTAGACCTCCGTTATCAAATCCAGAAACCATCTCTAAACTTAAGGACAGACCTGACGGTGCAGCTAAATCAATTCTGCCTGCTAATAGATCGTTATCAGAAAATGAACAGAGATCGGGGTCTGCAAAGTCCAGTTCAGAGTCTTCTCCAGGAAGAGGGCTTAGAAACAGATTGACAAAACCCCAAACTGGTTCAGACAGGCAACAGAAAATTAGGAGGCAGTCACCCAGATCAAGTTCAAGATCCTCGTCGGAAAGCAAGTCGAGAAGCAGACTTCAGCCAAAACGAACCAGTTCAAGGTCCTCCTCAGAACAGCAGCCAAGAAGACGATCCAGAGGTAGTGCAAGTTCCTCATCAGACCGATCAACTAAGTTTGAGCTGGCTAGGCAAAGGCGTAGCTCGGGCTCATCGTCTGAAAGGCCACCCAAGGCTAAGCCGATTCCCGGTGAAGCCATTTCTGGATCCTCTTACCAACGTCCTCAACACAGATCTAATTCTTCTTCTTCAGGCTCAAAATCCAATATACAGACTTCTTCCAGTAATAAAGAGCTTTCTCGTTTATCCAAACATGATCCAGGATCCCCCCAGTATAGAGGAAGGTCTGGGTCCTCGGACCACTCGAGAAAAGCCAATTCTGGCTCATTTGTAACGGAGCCCAAAGAAAGATCTCGAAAACGTACGTCCAGCTCTGACACCTCATCTGAACGAGATACTAAAGCCAGGTCTTCTCAGAAAAAATCTCATTCCGGATCCCCTGAAATTCTTACCTCAAGGACACCGCCATACAAATCACGGTCCCCTGAGAGTGAAACCAAACCTAAATCCCCTGAATATCAGTCAGCAAAATCCTTCGAGCCTGAGCACAATTCAAGGTCTCAGTCTTCCAGAAATGATGGCTCTGTTGGTGGCCGTTTGTCTCCAGCTTTTTCAAAGGCCTCTGTCACACAGCGGCTTCAGGTACCACCAGAACCTTCTCCAGAGAAGCAGGAAGAGATGGACATTTCTCCCGCTAGAGAGAGAGATGAATCTTCTTCAGATAAAAGATCTCGTTCAAAAAGCGACTCGTCTTCTGATGATGATTCTCAGGTTGTGCCGAAGCTTGCCACTGGAGTTGCAAATAAATTGGCGTTGGAACCGGACCATAGTAGAATTTCCAGCAAAGCGAGTCCAAAGCAAACGGAGGAGTGTTCAGATGTAAATGAAACCGAATCCAGGTTGAGCAGGGATAGGCTGGCTCATGAATCTCTCAAGGACTCTCCAAGTCCAGCAAGCCATGAAATGTCAATAAAAGGGCCTGCTTCATCCGACCACAATATGTCCAAGGATGAGGCCCCACCGATGGATGACTCATCCCCAGTTCAAGAAGTGAAGAAAAGATCTGACAGAAAAAAATCCACTTCCTCCTCTTCAACCTCCTCATCGTCATCATCTGCCTCATCGTCATCCTCGTCGTCGTCATCATCCTCCTCTTCTTCCTCCTCCTCCTCGTCTTCATCTTCTGAAGAGGACGATGATCCAATTACTTCACCTTCAAAGAAGGTGACTTCTCCCCCTAAAAGACAAGGAACTAGTCCTGATCATTCTGCAACTGGTTTCTCTCCAGAGCAAAAGTCCTCTGAAAACGTTGATTATGACAAAACATCGGTGTCAGCTGCTGGAAAATATTCAGACGCTGGTCTCCATAACCAATCAAAGTCTCCGTCATCTGCTGAAGTAAATCAGGATGACTGCAAAGGTAGTCACAACTCTCCTGTCCATGTTTTGGAGATGTCCTCCGAGGTGAAAGCCAGCTTTTCTACTGATGTGCAGATGAGCGCACCAAGTTCTGAGAATGTCCCTCATCTCTATGACGAATGCCCCAGTCCCGTGGCAGAAAGCAAGGCTACTGCAGACAAATTGCATGCTTCACCACCACTCGCCAGTCCCATTCCTCAACCAGTTGAAGGTGGAACAGCTGCAGACGTTGCATATCAAAATGAACATTCTCCAAAGCCGGCTAGTCCTCTGCCACCACCTGATTTTTCAGATGCTCGGGCTGATTCACTTCATGTCCAGATGGACTCCATGACAACAGATCATGATGAACAAAGTACAGTTAAAAAATTATCGGCGTCTCCGCAAACAAACAAAAGCCCCAAGTTCCGCCGTTCCTCCAAGTCCAGTAGCTCTGGTTCATCTTCAGACGACAGCAGCTCTGATTCAAGCGAGGACAGCTCTTCAGAAGGGCATTCGTCACCCGATCGTTCAAAACCCTCCGAAACGGTCGCCAAGCCAGATCCTCCACCTATACGGCGTATTGCATCGCCGGCTAAAAGAGAGAAGTCCGAGTCACCGAAGCGTGAATCAAGGAAATGGGCCAACAAGGATAGACGTTCCCATTCCTCCTCTAGGTCACCAGTGAGCAAGGAAACGCATCTGCAGAAAAGACGATCACCTTCAAGGTCACCAGCTAGAAAAAGAATGTCCAAGACACCACCACGGCGACAAGTTCGGACACCACCTCGAGCTTTTAGATCCCGTTCACGGTCAAGGACTGAGAGATACTCATTTAGAAATCGCTCAAGATCATCTTCTAGACGGTCACCATCATGGCACGACCGTAGGCGATGGGTTAATCGCAGGTCCCCGTCATCTCCCAGACAAGGCAATTCTGGGTCTCAATCACGGGTTTGGCGTTCTCGGCGTGGTCGTTCTGGATCATCTCCTTGGAGAGGCCGGTCAAGATCTTTATCAAGACCCGATTCATCTCGCTATTCCCGCCGGGGAAATTCTAGACCTTCTCCTAGAAGAAGATCAAGATCACCCCACAGACGCGATAGGCCATACTATCGGAGGGATAGGTCTAGTTCTTCAACTAGACGGAGGAGACCTTGGACACCACAGAGGAGATCCCGGTCACCTGAAAGAAGAGGAAGATCCCGATCCTTTGATAGGTATAAGAGCGGCAGGGCACCTAGGTACAGCCGTTCCCCATCACCACCTGGTCGAGGGAGGACTCGTTTGCCAGGTGGGCGAGAACGTTCCAGGTCCCCAAAGAAAGATAAATCACATGTACGACAGAAAAGTCCACGGTCACCAGCAAAATCTTTCAGTCCTGCCACTAAAGCTCGTCCTGCCTCTCCAGCAAGGTCCAACATTGTAAAGTCGCCTATAAAACATTCTCGGAGATCGCCATCGCCACCACAGTTGGAGAAGCATGCAGTGAGGTTGCCAACAAGCCCCATGCTTGAAGAGCCCATTGCACTTGTACCAGCACTTCCTGCCAGCAAGAGAGAGTCTTCTGCGGAGAGCCGGGGTGGTTCTTCTCATCCCCAGACAGCTCTGGATGAATGTAGCCGGTCTCCTCCTAGACTTTTGAAAGCAAATGATGCTCCAGATACTCCTCCATCTTCCCGAAGTGGAGACAATAATTCTGAAATGGAATCAAAGATTGCCGACAACCAAAAAGATGAGTCGGGAAACACAACTTCTGCCGCCGCTGCTGTAAGTTTAGATGGAGAGAAGGCCTCCCATTCACCGGCTCACACTAATGGATCGTGTGGACAAGATGCACCACGACAGGAGAGATCCTCGAAGAGTCCTTCGGCTTCGAGGTCCGAACCAGAAGAGAGACCTTCAAAGGCCGCCTCCGTGTCTTTGATTGAGGAAAGGTAATCGTGTTTCTGTTCTTTTAAGGGCTCAACCTTCAGGTTTACCTTGAAGGAAATGTACAGCTGTAGGCACCTTCTAGCTTACAGTGCACAATCATTCAAACCGGTAAATGGGTCAGAGGAGGGTACTCTCTCCTCCATACCTGTGCAGATGGGGCCGTTACAAGATTGTTATTATATAAATTCTCTATAGAATGCCCTGACACCAGGTGCACCCTCTACGGGGCATTTGTAACAAATGTTTTACATAAATTAGGGATGAACCGATACTAGTATCTGTACCCATACCGAGTATTTGGGTGAGTGCTTGTACTCGCTCAAATGCTCCTATACTTTCCCCAATACCGGAACTTCAATTGACGGGTCACATTGATGTGGGGGGCGGGTTGTGTGAGGACAACACGTGACCCTGAAAACTCATTGTGTGTGTGACCCATAGAATGACCTGTGTTCTATAATTCCCCTCCCCCCCCAGGGTCTCCAGCACGCCAGCAGCAGAACCGAAGAAACTGGAGGAGGTGCCTAAAGGAGAACCCCGCCGATCACGAAGCTCCAGTTCTTCCTCGTCGTCCTCCTCCTCTTCAAGCTCATCATCGGGCTCCGACTCTTCATCCTCATCGTCATCTTCGTCGTCCTCTTCATCTCGGAAATCGGCAAATAAATCCAGGAACAAGAAGGGACCGTCGCCTGGAAGGAGGAGGTGAGCGCTGCGCCCTTTTCTTCATTACAAGGAGACCAATCATTTACTGGTCACATGAGCCGCTCCAGGAAGGGGGCGGGGCTTGTCAGATTAAAGAAACTGCAACTACTCAAATCAGCCAATAGATTCCTTCCTGTGTTTCTCCTCCTGTCACTGGGCAAAATGCCGATTGTACCGAAAGTGGTGCGTCCCCAGCCTCCTCCCTCCCCGCTGGGCGCCGGCCTGTCTCCCCTCCGACATCACTTCCTGTTCATTCATAAAGTGAGCCGATAGTATATCTTTACTACGTCCCATCGGCTCACTATATGAATGAACAGGAAGCTCTCAGTACAGAGAGCTTCCTGTTCATTGAGTGCTGGGGCTGCAGAAAGAGATTGAGGTCCTCAATCTTTTTCTGTTTTATAAGAGAAATAACAGTGAGTTGTCACATGGTTAGAACCTTTCAGTGGGTTTTGTCTGATCATGTGATCTCTCACTTCCTGTCATGGCAGGAAGTGATGAGTAGCCGTTGCTATGGGAACAAGAAATGAAGACATGAATGTCCCGGTGACTTGGTAGATATTGTCTGTGTGTGTAACCAGAAGGGGCTCATACCCTCGTCTTATTTGTGGGAGCTTACAGACTTCCGGGACCTCGCCCTCCTGTACAGAACATTGTGTCCTGGACTGCCGGACAGACTCCGTCACCGACATATTATAATGTGAATCTGCCGCCCCCCCCTCAATGTACTCAGATGAACTTTTATTGGCAAGTTGTCCCTGCCTCCGGTGTGTCCGCCGTAGCGCCGCCCCTTCTCGCTGGGGGCGGGCAGATGGCGAGACTCCGCCCCCCGCCCTTCTTTCGTCCCGCATAGGCAATTTCGTAAGAAGTGAATTGAAACCGTGAAATTTCTCTTTTGTGTTTATTTTTGTTCATTTTTTTTTGTTTTGTTTTGTAATCTGTACAGCAAAACTCCTTTCTGTCAATAAAAGATTGGGCTAAAGCCAGCCGCTGATTGGTGGATGAGAGTCCCTGCGCCTCAATATGAGGACCGCTCTAGTATCGGGTGGTAACCATGCCGACAATGAGGGTCATGACGACGACCGGCATGCTGGCTGTCCAGGGGGCCGCCTTGTTTCCCTCGGGGCATGGGCAGTTGCAGCCCCTCTGGTCCCGTCTCTCGGTGGGTTCTGTGGGCTGCGGTGGAGACTCGCTCCTACAGTGCATCCAGTCTCTGGCGATGCTGCGTGGGTAGCCAGGCTCCGCCTCCACTTCGCCATCCTTAAACTGCCAGTACTGGGAGCCCTTGAAGAAATACGTGTTACCTGTGGGAGAGGAAGGACCAATTATCAGAGTGCATTGCCAGAGCCATGGTGGAGGGGGCAGGTCATGGCTTGGGGCTGTGATGGTCAGGGGCAGGTCATGGCTTGGGGCTGTGATGGTCACGGGCAGGTCATGGCTTGGGGCTGTGATGGTCAGGGGCAGGTCATGGCTTGGGGCTGTGATGGTCAGGGGCAGGTCATGGCTTGGGGCTGTGATGGTCAGGGGCAGGTCATGGCTTGGGGCTGTGATGGTCAGGGGCAGGTCATGGCTTGGGGCTGTGATAGGAAGTCATGGTTTGGGGCTTTCTTGATGAAGGAGGAAGTCATGGTTTGGGGCTGTGTTGATGAAGGAGGAAGTGGGCCATGATGGAGGAGGTCGGTCATGGTTTGGAACCGTGATGGAGGAGGGGTGGCGGGTAATTTGTTTAACTTGGTGGCAGGGTCTCTTAAACTGAAACCTGAGAGAAATACAAAGACGCCCATCTCTCTTACCTGCACCTGAAAATGCTAGTTCCCTGGTTTCCATGCTAACTGCTCTGGCATTACTATGAAGTCACGGACTTGGAACAAGCATGCAGCGAGTGAAGTCAGAACTGATGTGGTGCTGGGATCTAGGGAGATCTGCCTCCACTGTCGGCTTTCATTGTTGATTTTCCCTCACTTCCTGTCTGGTAAAGTCGGTGTCATTGGGCAGATGTCTCATCCAGAGTGAGGAGGGGGTTTGGCTGGCCAGGCATATCATCTGATTGGGGGCTACTGGGAAGGTCAGTCTGGTTCCGGTGGAAACACTCACCATCTACCCAGCTGATGACATCATCAATGGCCAGTGGCAGCCCTTGCCACAGATTGGTGTCCTGCGGGTAGCGGCCGTCCATCTTGCCAAGCGTCTCGTCGTATCTCCAGAAGCGGTTCTGTCTGAAGAAATAGGTCTTCTTGTTGTGCTTCCAGACGAAAGCTCCATCAATCCCGTCCGTGTGCAGGCCGAAATCGGAGAGGAGGCGCGGGTAGCCTGGCTCCACCAGGGTGTCCTTAAACACCCAGAAATTGTTCCCTGTACAGAGAGAAGACGGGGTCAGAGCGCAGCCAAGGCACCAAAAGGCGTCCCGCAATGTTCTTTGGTATCACATGTTTCCATTTCCATCTACTCCAAAGTGGAAGCAGTTGGAGGCAGGAAGTGGCCAGATCCAGCGATCTTAGATGGGCGCCTACGTGTTGGTGTTTGGAAGAGCTGACCACCCACGGTGCTGCTAGCCCAGTGACCTGAGCAGGTTCTAAATGTGCACCTTCCAGGATCCCAATCATCAGACAGATCAGCCTCTCAGCCTAACACTCGTAAGCCGTGATAATGAGGGACTCCTAAAACCTCGAAACGCGTCAACTGTTACTGTGACGAATGAAGTATATCTGGACTGTCCAAGCTTGGTGCCTCATCTTAACCAAATTCCTTCCTTCAGCTTAGAGTGGTGATTAGTAGGAACGGCACCACATGGACCGGGCTGGTCTTGGATGGTGGATGCCAGTTTGGAGGAGTCATCCATATCCATTGTACAAACTGTGGTGACACCCAGACCCCTCCTTCCACCTTTCATGCTCCCACATAAAGAAGAACACTTCCCCTCGAATGTTTGCAATGGCATCAAAATGGGTGGAGCAGCGATCAAGAAATGGAGGGCGGGGCCTGATGAAAAAAATGAACCATTACATCATGGGTATAGAAATGGTTGACATGAAGACATTGACACAGTGCAGAGGTGATACATCGTAGTCCTTCCCTGTTCATGGCTGGTAGGGAAGCTCAGTTCCAACTCTACTCAACCCTCAAATGTCAGATTTTCATGGTGGACAGAGAATCAGAAGATCGGCCGTGGGCTTGGCTACTTGCCGGCATGTTTGGTGTCCTGTATGGTGTGTGAGGGCGGCGCTCATAGGATTTGGCTTGGACTTCCAACTCAAGTGAAAATCCAGAATCTTCCTTAAAGTATCCCGAACAC